TCCACTCCTTCCTGCCTTTCCTCCTCCTTCCTCTTTTGCAGGTATACAACACACCCGATGGACATGTAACGCGCGATCATCGCGAGGTCAGTTTTCCCCTTTTCTTTGTTTCTGTCAGTCAGTGTTTCCCTTGCTGAGTTCTCTTCCTTTTTTTTGTTTTGTTTTTTCTTTTCTTTGGACCATTTCTCAATTTATGCGTGTCATCCTTGAATGCGCCGGGGCAGGGGCCGTGCATCCTAATCTTCTCCCAGTTCTCTGTTTCTTTGTTCCAATTTTAACGGATGTCCCGAAGGACTCTCTTACTGAGAACAGTGAGAAGTGCTTTCAGTGTTCCATCAGAAATTTGGTGGTGAGAGTTTGGAATTGCAATGGCTTAAGTTTACAAACGCAACTAAAGTGTGAAGTTTTGTGAGCTGTGAGCTGTGAATCTGTGATTGTTTCTCTTAGACCAGCACTATCTCCGGGCCTCTTTTTTTTCCTGTGGCGGGTGGATTTGCGTTGTGAGTTTGAAATGAACCAGCTGCCAGCCAAGGAGGCAGGCCTGGGAGGCCGAGCCCGCGAAGAATGCAGTAGTAGACGAATTCATCGCAAACTATGAAAGGTAGCGAAGGGGGTTTAAAGTTTAAAGTTTAACCTTTAAACGGCTTTTCTTAAATCCAAAAATAGATTGTTGATGCAATGTTGAATGCTCCCTTTTTTTTGTTTTGTTTTTGTTGTTGCTTTTATTAAAGGCTTCTTCACGATCCTTGACCATTGTGCTTGGGAATGGGCGATGAGTTATTCAATGGAAGAACATCAACTTCGACATAGTTTGTAACATTTGCATTTTTTTGGTCTTTGTGATTTTGTACCCTGCCTTCTTTCTTCCTTTTTTTTGTGTTTTTTTGTTTCCATTTTTTTAACCTTGTGTTTCATCTCTCTCTCTCTCTCTCTCTCTCTCTCTCTCTCTCTCTCTCTCTCTCTCTCTCTCTCTCTCTCTCTCTCTCTCTCGTGCGCGCGCGCGCGCGCTGTCGGAGGGTGCGGTGTCCCGGCCCTCCTCCGTACGCCGAGTCCCTACTTGGTACTAGGGCTATACCATGATGTGGACCAGGCCTGCTTGGCGCTTGCCTCAGCAAAAGGGGTGCGCCACAGGACTTCCATTGGTCCGCACAGGCTCGGCGCCCTGCTGTACAGCAGAGCACAACCGGCATGTGGTCGTGGTAGCCGCCAGGTTCGCCCTGGGACGCGAAAGCAAAGGGGCTGGCACAGTCTTTTCTACTGCGCGCCGAGTGCCCTGTGGCCAAGTTATGGGTTAGGTGCGTGGAAACGACTTGCTGACGGGAAGGAAAAACTGAATGAAAGAGATAAAAGGGGAAAACAAAAATATAGAAAGCAAAGAAAAGAAGGTAGAAAACCTGATCAGCACGTGGATCAGGACCGTTGCTTTAGTCCAGAATGATCCAGCAACGATCGTCTACTGCATCGTTTGAGATTCCCTTTTCTCTTGTTATTACTGATATTAATATTTTTATTATTATTTATTCACCGATTTTCAGATGTGATTTCCCCTGTTGTCGGGACCCTGTCACTTCGGGGGAGGCCAGTGGTCTTGTTTCCAAGTCGTGGTCACTGTTAGTTTAGACTGAGCCTGCATGGGGTTGAAAGGACCGTCTGGTCCTAATGGCCGTGATCTGGGCCAGGTACAGGGATAGTAGCTGAGTTTAGGGGTAGATACGATAATGTCTGGGAAAAGAGGGAGTAAGAAAAAGAAAGGAAGAAGGAATGGCCTCGGGGTTTAGTTCTGTGCGAGGACATGCTCCTCTATTCGGAGGGAGCCGCTGCACCGATGAAACCTGAATCGCCTTATTATTATTATTATTATTATTACTTTTTACTATTATCATTATAATCATTATCAACTTTTCCCTGTTTTCCGTTGGTCCTTCACTTCGCGGGAAGGCCAACGGTTCGAGTTTCGAAGAGCGGTCATAGTCACTGGTTCAGGCTGAATCATCTTTAATCTTCAAAGTTACTGGGAGGCTCGATCAGGCGCCGCGCAATAAGGACCCCAAAAGGAGGGCGACCCACGGCCGCATCGGTAGGAGGCCTATCACCCCCCCCTGTGGAGGGTCATAAGTCCCCTCCTTTCCATCGGACACGGGCACCCAGCAGAAATAGCACTGTGCTCTCTTTTAAGGTGAGAACCCGGACGGTCGGGATCTCGTTATGGGACCACCGGTTCAGGGTCGCAGTCGCTTTTCGGCGAGGCGAAACGACGGGGGTCGATAGCAGAAAGTCTGCAGTCGCCGGTGGCCACTGAGACTTCGCTATTTTTATTTTGATCCGCTTTTACTCTATTGTTTGTTTCATTTAATTAATTATATGGCCCCAGGTTACTGATGAGCAGAGTTTCAGAGGGTGCCTCGTTTAGAACGTTGGGGTCACAGCATACGACCGATTGTATAAAAAGGGAAAAAGCGGACTGAGACTTGGCTATCTAGTGGCTGATCAGGAGGGCGCTAGCGGACTGCTTCGTGACGTTAGTGCACCAGCCACTTTGCTGTGCGAGTGCCAATCGACCGAGGTGAAGGGTACAGAATAGCGGACGTTTAGCGGATGCCGATGGTCTGTGCCTAGGACCAAGGTTTTGTCTGATTTTGAGACCAGTCATGGCGCTACACGGCTATAGACCTGGCAGTTGGCGGCACACGGTGCGCTGGGTTCCAGTGTCGGGTGAAGGTCCTCTGATTACGACGGCTCTGAACTATGATGGGGGAGAGGTAGTCCGACTGAAGGTCTGCATAGAAGGGGGGAGAGAGGAGGAGATGCAAGGTGACCAGAGGCTGCAGGCTGCCATTTCCGAAGCGTGCGACAGGGCGGAACGGAGGTGCAGACGAGATGGGGTGACTGTGGGCTTGAGGGTGACGGTCATCTATCACGAGACCGAGTCATCAACTGGGACCAAGACAAGGGAGGAACAACATAACGAGAGAGACTCGGGCGGGGAAAGCAAAATGAGCGAGGCGGACCGAGAGACGGATCTCAGGTCCTGGAACAGACCCGAGGAGATCCAAAAGCACCACCGAGCCGCGGAGCCGGTGGAAAAGGGACCTGAGGCCAGCTCGCGACAACCGACTCCCAGAGGCCGCGGGACCGGAGGAAAACCGAGTAAAGGTAAGAAACGGGTATGAGACAGGACATGCGATATGCTGGGGGGGCGAACAGAGGTCAACGAAGAGAGTAATGGGAACTCGCAGAGTGCGGTTGACGTCAACCGCTGTTCGCAAGCTCACGTATTTGGTTAGCATCTGCAGCAATGATGGAGAGATAATGAAGTACCTGTCTGAATAGAGTGAGTGGTGTCCAGAGAGAGAGGGAGAGAGAGCGACAAGCGCGGCAGGTGGCGTGGTCTGGGAAGCAAGAGGGCGGTTAACGAGAGGTGTGAGAGAGAGTGGACTGCACGCCCGATGCACGCGGGGTAGTCTGATAAGGTGGGGAGGCACGAAAAAAAGAAGAGAGTTCACGGCCACGCGGGACAGGGGAGAAACAGAACGGAGGGAAAAAACACGTGTAAGAGAAGAAGGGCACCAAGGTCAGAGAGAGAGGGAACGGCGAAAGCAGGCCGTACTAGTGGAGGTCAAGGTTTTTGTCGCTTGCGGGATGTGTGGGCTACATGTGGCGGAGCCAGGTGAGTGAAGGAAAGGGGTCAACGGAGAGAGAGAGGCAAGAACGGGACGCGTGTGTAGGTGGGAGAAGTTGACGTCAACCCAGCTTCAGCGCGTGAAGACTCGGCGTGAGAAAGGGAGTGCATGCATGGATGGCAGAAGGGCGCCTCTCGAGTTGGAGCTGAGAGAGAAGGGCGACGAGTGCAAAATGGTGATTGACTTCATTCTCCTGGCCAGGAGCAGCGAGAGCTCCGTCTTCTCAGAGTTCCGGACTGTTATTTTAGGATAATTCAAGAGCTCCCAAGGAAAGCATGTGACGATCAACACTCCCTTCATGGAGAGTTTCCCTCATGACTTCGCGGAGACAGGGTCCTCGTACTTCTTGGGCTGCTGTCGAAGTTGACAAGGGAGGCTCAACACACCCACTTTGGTCGGAGCATGCACGAACTGTTCAGTCAAGAACTGGTTGCTGAGCTAGTTGTGAGGGGGTAGACAAGAAAGAGCCTGAGCTAGGACGCTTTCTTTCTTTTTCTTTCTTCAGGGCGATGGTGCCGGAGGTCATCGACGTTTCCTTTCCCTGTGACTGCCTTGACCGAGATCTCAGATAAGATGTTGGCCATTATGAAATAATACCCTTTCTTTTCGCTAATTCTAATTCTCTTCTTTGTTTTGGCTAATTAGAATGGTTGATCGTTATCGATTGGTCATGCTGCAACCTGGCAAGGGTTAAGTCTCAAGAGACCATGTAAGTGGGTGAATAAGGGAATAGCCCCGACTCATAACAACGGTTCGAAGCCAGACGGCTGAGGAGGGAATCCAGTGCCCAGCGTACGAATTGCTAATGATTAGCAAGGCTGGGGTTCTGGCAAGACATTGCGCTTTGTCTATTGGATGTACCTTTTTCTTGTGAGCACCAGCGTAGTGTGAATGTGTTGTGCTGCTGCTTCGAGTGAATGCGTCTAAGTGACAGTGTCCCTTGGCCAAGTCTTGTAACGGTACGGTGAGATCATTTCGTGTGACTGTGCTGCGTGACAGTGTCGTGTGACTATGTCGTGTGATGGCACAGTGAGATTACCTTGAGTGACCGCGTTGTGAGACAGTGCTGTATGACCGTATCTTGTAACGACACTGTGTGATTGTTTCTTGTGACTGTACGGGGGCGAGTTTGCGTTGGCTTGCGTACGCTCACCTGATTGAGTATCTCGCCTATAGTGGTAAGAATTTCTGATTGATTATCTCGCCTATAGTGGTTAGAATTTCTGATTGATTATCTTGCATATAGTGGTAAGAATTTTCTGATTAAGTATCTCGCGTGTAGTGGTAAGGATTTGATCTTGTCCTGAAAATGAATCTGGTGCGGGACTGTGTAAACATGTGAGTGTCTGTGTGAAAAGGCTGAATGCTCTGTAAGTCAGATGACCACTCTAGCCATTAAGAACACACAGGGAGTCGGGCCAATCTGTTGATGTTAAACCCGAGAAGACCACGAGGAATTGCTTTCTCAAGTATATGAGGCTCCTACTCTACTCGTAATGAAGTCTAGTAATGAGTGGTAGGGGAAGAAAACGCCAACTGAGGAGGGTAGCCTACTTGATTGCAAAGTTTTTGCTTGATGGGGACTAGCTCCCTGTTCGCTCAGTGGATGAAATACTAATCATGGGAATAGATTGACTGGGAAGTAGGGCCAGCGAAAAGTAACAATCCCTCTAGAATAGGGGTGTTAGTTTAAGTGCATGCAACTCCTTGTGCTGAGTTACTCGAAAGATATCAGGACCCAGAGCAAATGCTTCTTCTTGAAGTTATAACGATGTTTTGTAAGAACATAATGTTATGGAAGTGTGATTGCTGACGGGGGACGAAAGTCGGAACTCGCTAGAAGGGGGTTCCTCTGCACTATTTGGGAACTCACTTCTTACCTGAGGACGAATCTTCACAAAACGGAGTGGGTCTTGAACTGTTGTAGTGATATTCGAAATAGGTGAAAGTGGGAGGCTGTCGAGCAAACCTGGGATTCGTCACTCTAAACTCTATTTGATGGGCACAGTAAAGCCCTTTTGAGAACTCTGAACTCTATTTGATGGGCACACCTTTTGAGCCCCTGGTAGGAACAGAGGCATTTCACGAAAGACGCGACAGGCTTTCCCAGGAAAAGTTCCACCCCATCTGTCAACCTGGGCCAGACCTCTTCGACAGTCCCTGAGTCTGAGTGAACGCACTTCTTCAAGCTATTTCTGCTGAGTCCTGATCAACCCTCAACCTAGCGTATCAGAACAGATGTAAGTGAGTTTTGTTTTCTGAGCAACAGTGGCTGGTGGGACTCCAAACAGGGCTGGCACTCTCGAGGAGAGACGAGTCAGGCTTCATGCTTAGTGGTGAATAAGCTCAGGTCGGTCAATCGATGCTCGGACCCCCAAAAGCAGAGTGTCTTGTCCTGAATTCAAATGAGGCCACGTCGTTGAGTGCAGAACGAAGGGACCCTTATTAAGGGCCGGTTCCCCAAACGGACTCCAGTCAGGAAATGGTGCTATACCCTGGAGACGCCCCTTTTTAGCCATTGATTGTACCACAATGACATAGTACAGACTCTAAGACATTAATGAAACGACTTTTTCTAAGCTTGAGGACTTGTTTTCTCTTGATTGCAACCCTTTAAGGTCAGGTGTGATCAGCTCTATTTTTCGAGGTTGGAATCCTATCGTGGGGAGAAATGAGGGGAGATGAGATTATAGTGGTGAAGGGTGAATCAGTTAGAGACAAGAGTGAAGGGTGGGAAGATGAGGCGCTCAAGGACATGGAAAAACACAGGTTAATTCAGAGGGAGTTTGCAGTCAGTATGGCGGGGGAGAGAAAGTACATAGAATATGTAATCTACTTCCGTGGGCTTGATGGCCAGCTTCACAGTACCAGCTCTCTGTTAGAAAGTGTGGAACAGGCCAGGGCGAAGCTCAGAGGAAGCTTGTAGAGTTTAAATCGCCACTTCCGAAGGATCCTTCGTGTCTTAAATATTGACTGTTCGCTGCCCCTCTCGTGGTGCAATAACACGAGAACCTCACGATCCTGTGGTCTGGCTTTGTTAAATAATATTCAGTGTAATATTCACTGCATGTTCGAACGATATTCGGTGCATACTCAGATAAATAGAAACCAGGCACAGACAATAAGAAACCAGAGACCAGAATCAGGCTCGGAAGACCAGAGACCAAGCCAAGAGACGGTGTTCTAGCACGGGACTCAGAACAACGATCAAAATAGCAACTAGAAAACAACCATTGAGAACGGTTTCTCGAGGTCAGTGTTCGAGAGGTGTTCAGACGGCCCTCTGAACCATACTTATGGTTATACTCAGAACTATGCCAGAATCGTACTCAAGGCCATATTTGGAACTATACCCGAGGTTGTACTCGGAAAGGTACTCAACGCAGTATTGGGCTGTACCCCGAACAGTGCTCAGAACGGTAATCCGTGCCCAAGATAGTACTCAGTACGGTACTTGGAGCAACATTCAGTGCTCAGAGCAGTGATCAGGGCAGCGCTCAGAATGGTGTTCAAAACGGTATTTAACTGCCCCTCAGTCATTACTTAATTGTTATATTAACCACAACTCAGTCATCTCTTTAGTCGGCACTCAGCAACCATTCAACAGTCAGAGACGGTGCATCAGAGCAAGCAATCACGGCGGCAGCCGTCAGTCAGTAATCAAACAGCAGTCAAACAACGATCAAGTCAGCAATCAATCAGTAGTTAACCCGCAATCAATCAACTTCCTGATTAACAGTCAATCGGTTCTTCGGAAAACTGCACCTAGATACAACAATCAGAGACACCAGTCGGAAACAGTGATCAGAGAACGGCAGTTAGAGACAGCAACAAAAAGCAGCGTTCAGAATAGCATTTAGACGCGGCATTCCGGAGAACTGTATTCCGAAAACCAGTACCTTTAACTGTACTCAGATCAATACTCGGACTCAGCACTCTGAATTTACAGAGGAAACAACAATCTACCCAAAGGCCTTCTCGTACCAGGGTCTTCCAAGAGTCACCCGTTTCGAGTTGGTGATCTAATGTAGCGAGAATACAGCGAGAATATGGACAACAGCAACACAGTTAGAGTTTCCTGCTCGCTGTATCAGTGCTGAGGAGACCTGGAGGGAGAGCGCAGTGGAAAAGTACAATCAGCAAACAATCATGATGATGGAGTACGCTTTGACGCTGGTGAGAGATCACACTCGGATTGAGTATACTTATAATTTACATGACAAAAACGGCAGATTGTGCGCTACTATTTCCTCAGTGGGCACTGTAGAGGAAGCAAGGAAGGCTGTCCGAGATTCTCAGTGAGACAAGTTACGGGCAGACTGTAAAGAATTGGCTAGACTTCAAAACAACAGTTTTCAGCATTCAATTCTCAACAAACAGTTTTCAGTAATCAGTCATCGACAATCATTTAATCAACAATCAATCATCGGCAATCAGTTTTCGGCAATCGGTTCCCAGCAATCAGTTTGGTAGTCAGTTTTCAGTGACCATCCGGTCAGTTTGTACTGACAAGAGTACTCATGAGCACAGTTCAGTCTACTCCGGTCAGTGAGTCAGTGCTGGCCAACCTCAATCGGATCTCATGCAAAGAGGCATTTCATTATCAATATGTTAGTGCCGTTGGTTTCAGACAGGGAGATCTGTCAGTCTTCGTTGTCCAGACCAGTTTTGTTGATGGCACTATTCACGATCTGAGGCCTTATCTGAAGAAGGGTAAGGAGGCTCATGAACTTTTCGATCCGGTCTGGATCTCAACCACCAATTATCTTGAGCGGAGAGAGAGGGAGCTCGATGAGAGTGGTACTACGCTGATCCATAGCTTCGGGCCGGCGCTTACTGACTATCCTAAGCCTCCTGTCCCTTCCCTTCTCACAGATGGTACGAGTTGGCTGGATGTGATTGATTTGGCAAAGAGATACATCTCTCCGGCGGTGATCGACATTGAGGCGTTGACCGAGCCCACCGAGTCTCCCTACCTCAGACGAGGAGTCTTCTCAGTGGACGGGCTGCCTACTTTGTGGGAGGAGTTTTGCTCCATGGTCAACTACCGTGTCATGGGCCTCGGATGGTCGTGCTCAGAGCTTGCTGGCTACAGGTGGCATTTTGTCACGAAGCCCCAGTCTCAAACTGTACGTGGGCGTGGGTCTCGGCACCAGAAAAGATCAGTGAAAAGAGAGATTGTGAGAGGCTGACCAGAGGGATGAGTGAGGACTCTTGAGAGGTGCTGACCATGCCCGTCTACATGTACTTTCAGAGATTATTATGAGTTCTCATTCTTCCCTCACTCAACTGCTCCTGTCTTTGCTCGAGTCAGTCAGTCTTATTTTCTGCATTATTCTTGCTCGATGATTGCCTTCGTGGATGTTTTGTCATAGTTCTCAAAATCAGATTGACATAATTGATGCATGCACAACACCCAATAATTTTATGATTATTATTTGCCTAATTCTCTGCTGTTCCGAATCAAAATAAAAGATTCCTAAGACCGGGGACCGGCGAAGACCGCAATTGAAGGGTCTCGCTCGAAGCTGGACGCACACAACAGGAAGGGATTTGCATGATTTAATTTATTTTATTTATTGCAATCACATACAAAATCTTGCGTGACAGCCTGTTGGCTTTCCGGTCGCCCAAGGTGGCTCGGCTGGAAAAAGTGCGACAGCGCGCGCTGCGTTCCTTTTTCTTTGTTTGGGGGAAGCTGCTCGTGTGGGAGCTAGGGACGCTGGTATGAGCAGACGCCTCTAGCTCCCCCGGGAAGGCCCCATCTATGTTGGGCCAGCATTGATTGCCCCGAACACAGGAGATTTACTGCGCAGGTAGATGAGTACCCGAGAAAGGAGGAAAAAGGGGCCTCTTCAACCCTGCTGCAGGGCGCATGCTCTATGTGATCGTCTAGCTCCCATCCTTCCTTTCGGATGCAGCCCTCACACTCACTCTGCACAGTACCATGGAAGATCCACCATTGAAAGACCATGAGGTGGGAAGAGGTCTAGGAACTCAGAGGGGGGCCATAACGGAATCACTGCGTCCACCTTGGTCCAATCCTGAAAGCAGATAGTATAGTCTCGTTTCAAGCCCTCTTCCCCACCTTTCGGGATTCTGCCGCCCGCCGAGCTAACATAAGCCATCCAACCTCCCACCTGTTCATTCCCCAACCAGTCCCCGGAGAATTGCTTGATAGCCAGTGTTATATCTTTTTCGAAGTTTTCGGTGTGAACCAAGTCCAATTTAGATCTCACTGCCTGCCATTGTATGGTAAGTTCTTCTTGAATTAGATCAGACATTTCCACACCCTCTGATCTTACTTTTTCGATGGTTAATATACACCTTTTCCTCCAGAGGGCCCAGATAATTGCTCTCCTCCCCACCTTAAACATGTTCTCTTCAAAAGTGTTATTCGTGGAAGAGAGCCACGATTCACACAAGAGCGCTCTCCAGGCCCATGGCCACACATACTGTTACATCTTCGACGCCACACGGGTCCTACCGGACCCGACTTAGGGCTAGAGAGACACATCAGGGCCTCAAGGCCCGACCTCGGGGGTAGTACAGGCCATAAAGGCCTCACCTTGGACCAGACCCGACGGGCAGGCCCAAACGACATTACCGTTTGGGCCGGGCGGCGCTCTTGAGGCTGCCGCCCGCCGGTTGGGGCTGAACCGTCCATCTGGACGGTTCAGGGCACGGCCAGGCCTCGCAGCATTGAGGCCGGCCTCTGCCCCACCGGTATATAGAACCGGTCCAGCCTCAGTCCAGGATCGACCTACCGGCATTCTACCGGTACGGTATGGTACAACGCTAATCAGTGCTGGCGCTATCTTTAGCGCAGGAGCAGCGAGGAGCAGGCAGCGCAGCATTAGCGCAGCAGTAGCGAGCGAGCAGCAGCAGCGGCGACTGAGTGCACCGGCGGCCATAGCCGCTTGAGGTATCGGGAGTCGGAGGCCTCTCTCCTCCCTCCCCTCGCCAGTCCCCTCTCTCTCTCTCCTCCTTGGCTCCTACTTCTTCTTCTTCTTCTTCTTCTTCTTCTTCTTCAAACCAGAGACCTATACTAGTTGGACAGAGATCAGTGTTGGACTTCGGTGGTATGAGACTGTGGTACTCACCGGATTGGAGACTTGGAGATCGTTGGGGTTGATACTTGGCGACATCACAGTTCARACACCGGTTACATTTGGACTCTGTATCTCCGACATTGGTRACCTATGGTCCTCGACATTTTGATCTTGTTGGATGACATTTTGGACTACCATATCGGTGACCTATCAGATTCTATCTCGGTGACTTTCGGTGTTGTCTACCTCCCCCCCACCTCTTCGTCYCTCCTCCCCCATTCATYTGTGTATGTGTGTACRGGSCTGAGCATCTTCTATGTATGGCTCAGACCCCACCACCTCACGATTGCATGTGTGTGGAGTGATGCTATGTGAGTCAGTCTATGGGAGTCAGTCTATRTGAGTCAGTCCGTTCATCAGACTTCCGTTGCATATATGYTCATCCTACATTGGTTGATCCTTGGTTCTGCCCATACTCATTGGAGTATGTAACAGTTTTGGTATCGGAGCAGACCACTTACGGATCTGCTCACCAGGTAAGACTGATTTAGGAATTAGATTGTTCTTCAATCTTCCCAATCAGCGCTGTATTACTATCAAGTTCAAGTTGCAAATTTTTTTTCGGTAGTCTGGTTATTTCGGCATTTCCTGTTCAATTCAGTCTTCGGACTTTTATTCGGATTTTTGTTGTACACCGGTATGCTGTTTAATTAGGATCCGAGAAATTGATACTAATCCAACATTCTGTTTGATTCGGATTTCTGATTTTACGCGTATTAGGGTTGAATCAGTATCATGTTTGAAATTCGGCTTTTCTGATTTCCATTCAGCATTCCGTTTTTCGACATTCTGTTGTAAATCCTATATTTCGTTTTCTTTTGGATTTCCGTTGTCTTTCAGTATTGGAATTAGGGTTACGAGAAAATTAGGGTTGGGACCGAAATTTTCGCGAATTTTTTTTCGTTCCCCTCGTTTGAGAAATTCCGAAAACAAGTTTAGGCTTTAAAAAATCGGATTTTGACGGTGGAAATTCCCGAAAATTCACGTTTTTGAAAATTCGAGCGTTTTTTCTTCTGAAAATTTTCGAATTTTTTTTTTAGCACACTAAGCCGTATCTGACCCTCAAACTGCAACTTCTGGGTAGTTCACTCATTAACGGTGAACTCCCGGACTCAAAGTGATCTCAAAGAGACCTAATCATAATACCTTTCAAATTCGTTTATGATTGCAATTATTGTTTATTGACTATCTTTATTGCAAATAATGATTATGGGTTATCTTTATTACAAACATTGTTTTATTGATCATCATTAGGAGTATTTCGTTATTTATCATTAATTAATTTTATTGATTAAATCGTTATTAATTCCTTATTACGAATTTTTGAATGGTTTACGGGAAAATTATTTTTCTGTTTGATTAGGTGTCTACAGTCCATCAGTGAAACAAGGGACTGTATGAGTATCGTTTGATTGTTCTACCCCTGTTCCCACTCTCCCTACCCTCCCCGTATTCTGTGACCACCGGGACCTCTCAAGTACCGCATCAGTCCACACTGATGTCGATGGAACAGGATACCGGGGCACTGCCATGGCGCAGTGCCAGGCTCGCAGTTCGTGCTCGACCTACGGTACCTCCACGAACCAAGGCTCAGCAACAGAGACTCAGCAGGCGGACGACTCCAGCGGCATCGAGTACAACATTGACGGTATCGGACACCACCGGAGTTCTTCCCGCATGCCCGGTCCGAAGGGCCAGTGAGCCGTTGGCTGACTATTTTGGGCGGCTATAGGTATTTACAGATGTCGTAGCTGCCACCAAGGCTCAGCAGGAGGCAGCAGAGGCAGAACGTCAGCGGCTGGCCAATGAGGCGGCAACCCACGCTCAGCAGACTGCTGAGGCTGACGCAGCAGCACGAGACAAACGGAATGCCGCCAGTACGGAGTCCCTGATTCATAGTGAAAGTCAGTGGACAACGTTCCTCCAAGGCATGATCTTTGTGCCTTCGGACGCGCAGGCAGATCCGACACCGGCGGAGG